GGAGAGAGGGAGGGAGAGAGGGAGGGAGAGAGAGGGAGGGAGGGAGAGAGAGATGGAGGGAGAGAGGGAGAGGGAGAGAGAGGGAGGGAGAGAGGGGGAGGGAGGGAGAGAGAGAGAGGGAGAGAGGGAGAGAGGGAGAGGGAGAGAGAGAGAGAGAGAACAATTACTCTCCACATGGAGAATTTATAGAATTAAAGGTATATTTAGAATTAACCACTTTTGAGTCCTGTTTAACTCCAATAGATTTCCTCCCCCCCTCCAGTTAGCAATGCTGCATTGTGCCCAGCTTCAGCTGCATCATGCATTTTCACAGTAATTTAACTTCTCTGTGTGTTGATCCAAGTATGTGTGCCACAATGCTTACTCCCAAATAAGTAGACACGCTATGCCTGCCCAAGTCTCCAAGGCTATACTTTCACTACATTATGTGATTATCTGCACTTACCGTGATGACTCACAGGTGGGTTTCCGGCGCCCCTGTGTGCATTTCTCCCAGACGCTGTTGGCCGTTTCATTCCCGATAGAGGTGAGCACCAAGGTGAGCTCCAGGGGCCAGTCATCCAGGTCAAGAGAGCGCACACGAGACAGATGGGTGCCCAGATTCCGGTGGATGCCAGAACATTCAATGCAGATCAGCGCCCCCAAGTTCAGACTGGCCCAGGTTGGGTCTGCAGCAAGGAAATTGGATGAATTGGGAGTGTGGGATGAGGGAGAAGGAACCTCCCTCCCTCTTTAAAGCAAAGATCTGTTATTCCAAACCCTTCTGATGTGCTAAATCCCATGCAACCCAAGTTAGGATGAGAGATTGTAACTAGCCAAGTGGGATTCCCAGTGTGGTAAAGGGAAAAGCCCAGCCTTTTGGGGAATAAGCCTTATTATCAGGGAATACTGTCAGATTTGGGCTTGAAGGCCTTCCTTTTTATAGAGGAAGGAAAAGGAAAGACAAAGGAGAGAGAGAGAGAGAGAGAGAGAGAGAGAGAGAGAGAGAGAGAGAGAGAGAGAGAGAGAGAGATCATAAGCTGACCAACAAAAGGGAAGAAGAGTTGGGCTTGGAGGCCTTCCTTTTTATAGAGGAAGGAAAAGGAAAGACAAAGGAGAGAGAGAGAGAGAGAGAGAGAGAGAGAGAGATCATAAGCTGACCAACAAAAGGGAAGAAGAGTTGAAAGGATCTGCAGTGGGACTTCTCTTCTGAGCTCTTTAAGTCCCCCTCTCCAATCTTTTAAAGAGGCCCAGTCTTGAAACAGCTCCCTTTTCCTATGAAGAATCAATCTGTTCCCTTAAAAAGGATTGCCAGCTGGGAAGCAAAGGAGCCAGATGTTGCATAGGAAAAAAGTCACTGAAATCTCCTCTGCTGAAGTTGGTATGCCAAACCTGTCTGCTGGGGAAGGGCAGACCAAAGGACAGAAACATCTGTGCCGTGCTGTGCTGTGTCTAGCTAAAGAAATGGCTTATTTCTTTAGCTAGACATTATCATTTGATGTAATAATTGTCAGACTGAAGCTTCAAAAGAGACTTTTTTTAAAAAAAAAAAAGGTCTGTCCCTGAAAGCTTAAAAGGGCAGGTGGAAATAAATCTATATTCCTATTTCTCTGGTGTGTCTTGCCTTTGTCTTCTTCCTTGATCTCTTCTTAACATTTAAATATTATATTATATATCTTTCTAGTATAACACCTAGAAGATATGATGAAGTGCAACCAAAAATATAACATTGCTATTTATTATATCAGTAATTAACTGAGTGACATTTGAAAAAACTAGAGATATACATAAAAATATAGCTATTTTTTTAATGCACGGTATTACTAAAGCTATCTATATAGACCATCTATTATTCATCTTCTCAGCTTTGAGAGAGAGAGAGAATATATATATATAAGACAGAGGAGGATGCTATGTTTCTGGGAAGCCATTCATTATTTTGTGTCTCTTGGGATTAAAAAGGTCCATCATCCCCAGATTTAGTGAATGTTGGTTTGAAAGCACAGAGAACACTTCAAATCCTATTGCTTCATAAAGCTATTCAGATAGCCACCAATTTTGCTCAGCCCATCACCTTAATAAGAGAAAGATATGCATGCCATCCAAATCCTTCGGAACAAGAGATTAAAAATGCTTTTAACTGAGTCCAAAATATACTTTTATGAAGACCGGAAGCAACAATATTAGAAGCTGAGTTAGAGTTAGTAATTAATGTCACATTGAGGTTTGTACAGGAAATGCACCATCCCTATTGAGTTTATTTTTGGAAACAGGCAATCATTTCCTATACAACTTCAGCCAACATGCTCTAAAATAAGCCTGTCCACCTTCCGCTCTCCAGCTTTGTTGGACTACAGCTTCCACCATCTCCAGCCATTCATGCCATTTGCTGTGTGGGATGGAAATTCAAGAGCACACCTGGTTGAAAAAGTCTGAACTGCCACATACTTACTTAATGCCCCACAATCCACACACAAAGAATTTCCTTTGGCATTTCGGATAGCTTGGATTGCCACTGCTTCACTCTGGCTGTCCATCCGGGCCTGTTGGGGAGATAGAAGATGGAGAGAGATGCTGAAATGTCCATTGTTTCAAGGGTTACTTCACAGATTGCCCTAATTCTAACTGAGGCCTTGCAAGACAGGGTGAGCTATTTCTTCAAACCCGTCTTCCAAACCTGTATGAAAGTTTTGAATCATGCTCCATTTCCATTCTCAGATGCAACAGGATATTCCGAGGATACTCTCCTTTCCCTACACTTTTGAATGTTTGATATGAAACAAATTAATGTTGTAAGCTGGCCAGAGTCATTTTGAAACGAGATGGGCAGCAAATATAAATGAAACAAATAGACAAATAAGTTAAAATTGAATCACAAAAGAGGGCTTTCTTTTCAGCAGGGCCTACTCTGTGGGAACATTCACAAAAGGAAACCCCATTTTTTCTTCTCCAATAAATCAATCAGTTTTCTTCCAAATTTTGGGTGTGTGATTGGCTTCTATTTTTCTTGCTTTAAAAAAGTTTATGTGAATTGCAGTGAACTTTAATACAACCATTGATCAACTATTAACCATTTGCAAATAATGCTCAAACTCTTCTTACCAAGATGACAGAATTATGACTGGGCTAAATCACTTTGAGTGATAGAATTCAGGAAGGAAGGAAGGAAGGAAGGAAGGAAGGAAGGAAGGAAGGAAGGAAGGAAGGAAGGAAGGAAGGAAGGAAGGAAGG